ATGATGTTTGTGAAATCCAAGGAGCATCAGTAGTGCTCATCAATGGAAAATACCTGCACATCACTCATGATTTTCTATGAATATGACCATGTTAACTTAAATTCTGCCATTAAGATTTATAACCTTAACTATATTTTTTAAATAATGCAAATCTCTCTGCAAGTAACAAACTGGCTTATTCATCTTCAATGAAGGCTTGGAACAATAATTTATCTCCAATGATTTCCAGACTTTGGGAATCTGGAGTTGAACAAAGATTCTACTTTGGAGTAACAGTTAGGGAGAACAGTAGTAATAAGGCCCTGAAGTGAGGGAGTCTTGGCCCACTGGAGCTGCAGGAAGAGATACAGAGTTTCCTCTGATGTTACCCTGAAAGCTCCCCCTATGCTCTACTCCCCTCCATTCCCCAAAAACAAGCATTCATTTCTTTTATCAGCTAAAGTTTCACAAAATATGGACGCTATGCCTTTTATAGATTTTAATAAAAATCATGCCCATGGAAACCGCATATATCATCTAGAAAAGTGCTGGGCCAACTTTAGGATTCAAACAGAATGAAAAATGATGACTTCCCCAATCCCTTGTCAGAGAAACTCCTGGGCCAACCTGGGATTTGAAGAGATTACCCAAAGCATTACCCAAAGAATGTGGGGTTACTTCTGCTGAAGTAACCTGGGGAAGACTCTGGGGAAGGTTGAGCTCTGAGTTTTCTTTGTCAGAGATGCTTGCGGGTGAGAGTGCAATGGTGGAGGCAGGTAAGGGGCCACTTGGAGTCAGAGCCAGGGACTTTTCAGTTGTGTTCGATCCTGCTGTATCCATGGGAGATGAGGGGGGAAAAGAAATATGAGAATCATATCCTGAAATGAAAGTGCATCCTAGTTTACTAACCTCTAGTCTGTTACAATGTCCATAAGTATATATACACACAAATATCTATACTCACCCACATAACACCATAGATATTATGTATGTACATGTATGTGGCTCATGTTCATATTTGAAAGCAAATATCAAAATATATGTTTGTATATGTACAAATACATATTAAAATTTATAGACTAAAACAAACTATATAGGATAAAATGTGGAATGACATTGAAAGCACTCCTCTCTTTTAAAATGAGTTGATGGATTTTCAACTTTACAAAAATCACTGGGTCTAGAAGGATAAAATATATACAGATAATTAAAAGAAATGATTAAAAAACTTACTAATGAAGAAAAAGTTGAGAAAGATAAAATTGGAAAGGGGTCATTAGGAGGGCTAGAAAGCCAGGAGAAAAACACAAAGGACAAAAGTTCTAGTACACTTTTCTACGCATGAGAGTCACAAACAATGCCAAGACTGAGTAAATGAAGGGAAAACAAAATAATTCATATACATATATACAAATGATTTAAATCTATAAACATATCTTTAATTTTATGGTAACAGAAAACTCAAAGTAAATTATAAAAATAACATTTTCTATAGTCTTGGTTTACTTCAGAAAGGGAAAAACAATAAAAGGAAAGGTAAGGAAACAGGTGCATGCAAATCTGATAAGACTGTGCACATGGAAAGCTTCCTATACGAAGGGTTAGCACCATGTGTTAAAGGTCTTTTGGTATCTTTGGGGCAGGGGGCGGGGTAGGCTACACGCAGTAGTGGTCAGGAGGTATACTCTTGGCTCTGTGCTCAGGTGTCACTCATGACCATATTCAGGGGACCAGATGTAGTGCTGGGAATTGTAATTGAACCCGGCTCAGCTGTGTGCAAGGCACATAAAAGTGGTTTTTGGACGAGGATAAATTGTACAATGGGTAGGGTGGTTGCCTTGCACACAGCTGACCCAGGTTCAATTGCCAGAAACATATATGATCCTCCAAGCTCTCTAGGAGTAATCCCAGAATACTCCCAGAGTCAGGAATTAACTTGGTTAAGGCTAGGTATGGGCAAACAAACAAACAAAAACAACCAAAGCAAACCAAACCACACCAAACAAAAGCAGTTTCCTGGGGTCCGGAGAAACAGTAAGTGAGTAGGGTGTTCTCCATGCACATGGCCAACCCAGGTTCTATCTCTTGCATCCCATATGGTTCCCCCAAAGCCTGTCAGAGGTGATCCTTGAGCACATAGCTGGGAGTAAATACTGAGCAGTGTTTGAGTTGTATTGCCCCCATATACATAAACAAAAAGTGGCTACTAGGAGTCTAAATCACAAAGAATGTTGTTTTCATTAAAATGTGGGAAACATAACAAGACTGATTTTTTATTGTGCTCTTTGGAGAGTAGGCTAATAGAAATATGAGATTCCCATCCCCCATTTTCCATGTTTGTCATGGTTTTTCTTCATAGCCACTGAAGTGGTTTTTGCTTCAAACCACTTTGTACTTTAAGATTGCTCCAAACCACTTTGTACTTTAAGATAGTAAATAAAAGGTTTAATTGTATTATACAAGTATTTGACTTAATTTAGTTAAACAGGACTGGTTAAGAAGGCTGGTCAAATGTGGGAATAGTGAGAGAATAGAGAAAATAGAAAAGAAATAGAAGTGGTAGAAGGAAATGAATAATTAAAATGAAAAAAGACTGCTGGACGGACTATAGGAAATGAGAACATAGATAACAAAGAACAGCTAGCTCTGTTCACTAAATGTTGAAAGTAAAGTGAAACCTGTTTACTAAATACAGGACAAAACACATCTGCTCTTTTAAAATACAGCAAAAAAAAATTTAATGGGAACACACATACTGTTTTTACAAATTAGTAGGAGGGGAAAGACATCAGGTACTTGAACATCTCAACAGGTTTTTCTTTACAAAAGTTCTGCCATGATTTTTTAACACTCAGAAATTACAAAACTCTGTGCTAAGTAATGGGTTTGAGCACACAAAATATTGCAGCTCTCTTCTGTGATTACATAAATACAAACTGATAGTATAAACCTTCACTGTATCATTTTTCACATTAAAAATTTACATCTTTAGAACTTTATAGCCTTATCATGCACAATATTTACTAACAAACTTTTACTCATAATAAAACATTTCAGAGCAGTAGGAAGTTGTGAATTAGTTGCTAGTTACTTCCTGTATTCAGTGTAAATCCACATGTCTAATTTTAATATTCACTCAGCTGGTGTATGTTCAATGAAAAGAAAGGAAGCATGGAAAGAGGGATGAGAGAAAGAGTGAAAAAAAAAGGGAAGTAAGAATGAGTTTGAAATTGAATCCACTAACATTAAGTCCTTGTCATCTTTCTAGGCGTGATCAGTTACTAGCTTGTTTCATAGATCCCAAAGAACTATTGTACTCTGAGAGAAATGTTAAAATTTTCCATCTTCATTGCCATCTGCTTTTCTTTTGCTAGATTTAAATTACATGAAAACTAGAAAGAAAATCACTTCAAATACATAGCAGTTCTATCCTACAAGGAAGCATTGCTTTTCGAAAGATTATTTTCAATCAAGTATATTCAGTTTAGGTATATGAAGAAGTATAGATATTCTATTCGTTTCCACCAAATGTGTTCTTTGGGGGCAAAGTTTGGGAGAGGTCATTCTCATTTGAATTGGGGTCAGAACTCAGCTTAGTTCCCTTCATCATTTGGAGACAGTATGTAGTCAGCAAAGAGATAATACAATGAGCCATCTATCATTTTAAACATTAACTTGCCATTCTACTTAATTTATCTCCCATAGAAATAACCAATTAATTTGACTTAGCTGGAATTATCTTCTGTAAAATATGAAAATGCTAAAGTACATGGAAGTTGGTGGAATAAACCAATCACAAACTGTAAACATGATCTTCATAATTTTATAAAATCTTTTTTCATGCCAAAAAATTCTAAAATTTTAACATGAGATCTTTCAAAACTATAAGAAGATATACTTCTTATGTAATTTAGGAACATCATATTACTATTTGCATACTTCTTTGTTTCTGTAGCTCAGAATGATTTTTAATTAAATAACAAAGACAACTTTTAATAACTCAGTTCTCAGAATACAGAATGTGCCTTATTAGAAATGTGCATTATAATTTTCAAATCAGGATCTCTTAATGATTTACTTACCTTCTAAAGGCAAACTGTTAACCATAGGATTAATTGGGAAATATATTAAATATTTTAAATAACAATAACATTTAAATTATGCAATTTATTGTTAACCAGATGCAATCTAATGTAATCTCTTATTTTTCCTGTAATATATATGATTTTTCCTGTAATATATATGATTTTCAACACCTTTATTGTTTAAAGTTAATTTTTCTCACATGCAAAATTAAAGACTATTTTGTTATAAGCATAGAATTTGGAAATGACTAATATAAAACATCTTAATTTTTTTCAAAGTTTTTCTCACAAGGCATTAAAAACATTTCTATTTAAGTTTGCAATTTTCTAATTTTTTTAGATAATATCCTAATCCATTTTTGGTGCTGATAGGATACAGTAATTTTGTACATCAATAGCTTAAACATTAACTAGTACTATTATAATAAGCTACCTAAATTATAATTTAAAAACTAAAAATAGTTTTTTAAAAAATTTACAACCCAGTTTTGAACTATGAAGTTTTGTGATTGGGCTAGAGAGATAACTAAGAGGGAAGAGTGCATACTGTGCATGCAGGAGGCCTGGGTTTGATATCCAGCACATCATAGTCTCTCCACTACTACCAGGAGTGACTCCTGACACAAAGATAGGTCCTGAGCAACTTTGGGTGTGGCCCAAAACAAAAAATTAAAAAATAAAATTATAAGAAATTAAAACCCTCCTTTTGATAAAGTATCAAGGAAAGCTATAATCTATACATAATCATGCGCATATAAATGATTATATGTTTGGTGGTTTGAAATATTTATGAACAAGATAATATTAAGAACTATTCACAATTATAAAGTTGTCCTTAAAAATCATTTTGCTAGAGAATAGAAAATTTAATCAACATTAAATACATAGCCTTGCAAAAAAAAAAAAGATAAGCAGAATACAAATGGTAATTCTTACCAGTATTAGGAGTAGGGGTTTGTCCTATAAAGAGAAAATAGAAATATATATTAGATAGTACTAAATTTTATATATCATAGATATTAGTATTACAACTTTCAGTACTTTTCACGCACTCTCACCCCCACCTTCAACAAAACTCTATTCCCCTTCTTAATGCTATGCTTGTATTAAGTCCTTGCAATGCTATTACTTTTTGAACTCTAGAGTAAAATAAGAAAACTGAAAGTACAAAAGCCAACCATTAAATTTGTCAAATGACTTTGAGAAGATATTTGAAAAGCATTTATTAAGTGCATTTATTTATTCACATAATGATTATAAACTAAGTGCCTACTATATGCTAATATTTTTCCCTACTATGTGTTAATACTTTATGGCTATTTGACATGAACAATATGTTAGCTATACCAATTTTTCTAAGCTATAATGTGAAGAAGAGGTAGAAATTCCCTCTTATTAAACAGCTAAATTCACTGTGAAAAAAGGGGAAATCAGAAAAGCAGAACAGAGCAATGAGAAATGAGTCTATGCGTTATGGAAGCCAGATCTCTGGGCTGGAGGTTTAGACTGGGTTTCTTGGTTACAGTGAAGTTCTTGCTGAAAGGATTCTAGACAGCTTGTTTAGTACTATGGGGATAAAAGTTGGGATTTATCTTATAGACTGCAGATAGCCATCGGAAAGAAGTGTTTAAAGACATGTCGAATAAGGAAATATTTCCATCATTTAAAATAGCCCTATTGTAGATGGGCTGGAGTGATAGAACAGCAGGTAGGGTGTTTGCCTTGCACATGGTCCAGCCCAGGTTTGATTCCTCCGTCCATCTCGAAGAGCCTGGCAAGTTACCAAGAGTATCCCGCCTGCACAGCAGAGCCTGGCTAGCTCCCTGTGGCGTATTCAATATGCCAAAAACAGTTACAACAAGTCTCACAATGGAGCCATTACTGGTGCCCACTAGAGCAAATCGATGAACAACGGGAGGACAGTGCTACAGCTATTGTAAATAGGAAATAGATGATCAGAAGGTGTAATCAGAGACAGGTAAATCAGGAGACTAAAAGAAACATGAAAAAAAGTGTTCTATGTGAACAAAATAGTTTATTAAAAAATGAGACAAAGAAAAAAAAGTTTCTTGGATTGGAGAGAGAGGACAATGGTCAGGGTGTTTGCCTTGCATGTGGTCACCCTGGGTTTGATCCCTGCCCCCCACCCCCATCTAGTCCTCCAAGCATGCTAGAAGTGAGCCTTGAGTGCAGAAGTTAGGAGTAAGTCCTGAGCATGGGCAAGAGTGGCCCATTAGTCAATAAATCAATAAATAGTCCCTGAAATGCTTAGGAAATAGTGGTCAAGACAATTTATGCTTTCAAAAATAAGTAAAGCAAAGAAATAACAACAAGGAACATATTTTGGCTGACAGCTTAGTACTCTAATGAACTGCAGTAGGTAGGCTATGAACGCTTTCCTCGACTAAAAAAAAAAAAATAAAAGCAAGTGGAGAATACGATATGCTGGATACTTGCATGCAGAAGTGAGTGGTAACTTTTGGCTCTAGAAGTTGGCAGTTCAGGTTCTACATCAGGCTTTGGCTGTTGATCAGCCCACAGATGGGTTTTCATCTCTGGGGCCAAAGGAGTTGGCCCCAAGTTAAATTTAAAAAAAAAAAAAGAAAGAAAAGAACAAAAGAGCATCCAGGAGAGAATCAAGAGTTTATTTATTTATTTATTTTTAGCTGAAATTTATTTATCTATTTTTTTATTTTTTAAAATTTTTATTAGTGAAACACCATGAGGTACAGTTGTAGACTTACAAATTTTTGTGCTTGGGTTTCAATTATATAATGATCAAATACCCATCCCTTCACCAGTGCCCATTTCCCACCACCACGGATCCCAATATCCCTCCCATCCCCCATCCCCCACATCCCACCCTGCCTCTGTGGCAGGGCATTCCCTTTTGTTCTCTCTCTCTTATTGGGTGTTGTGGTTTGCAAAAGAGGCAATGGGTGACAATCATGTTTGGTCTATAGTCTACTTTCAGCATGCTTCTCCCATACTGGGAGGATCCTCCCAACACCTTTATTTGGTGTTCCCTTCTCTATCTGAGCTCCCTTTTCCCCTAGCATGTGTGGCTGGCCTCCAAGTCATGGAGTAAAATTCCTAGTACTAATCTCTTACAACCATTCTTGGGTGTTAGTCTCCTATTGTTACCTTATGTTCCCCAGAGAGAAGCTAATGGTATCTTCAAAGATGTCACGCCACTGGCTGAGCAAGTGAAAACAGAGATAGACAAATGGGACTATCTTAAACTAAGAAGCTTCTGCACCTCCAAAGAAACAGTGACCAAAATACAAAGACAGCCTACAGAATGGGAAAGGATATTCACCAAGTACACATCCGACAAGGGGTTGATATCAAGGATATACAAGGTACTGGTTAAACTCCACAAGAAGAAATCACCCAACCCCATCAAAAAATGGGGTGAGGAAATGAACAGAAACTTTCGCAAAGAAGAAATTCGAATGGCAAAAAGGCACATGAGAAAATGCTCTACATCACTAATCATCAGAGAGATGCAGATCAAAACCACAATGAGATATCATTTCACACCACAGAGACTGGCCCACATCCACAAGAACAAAAGCAACCGGTGCTGGCGCGGATGTGGCGAGAAAGGGACCCTCCTTCACTGCTGGTGGGAATGCCGGCTGGTCCAACCCTTTTGGAAAACAGTATGGACGACTCTCAAAAAATTAGAATTTGATCTGCCATTTGACCCAGCTATAGCACTCCTGGGAATATATCCCAGAGAGGCAAAAAGGTATAGTCAAAGTGACATCTGCAATTGTTTGTTCATTGCAGCACTCTTTACAATAGCCAGAATCTGGAAAAAACCTGAGTGCCCAAGAACAGATGACTGGTTAAAGAAACTTTGGTACATTTACACAATGGAGTACTATGTAGCTGTTAGAAAAGATGAAGTTATGAAATTTACATACAAGTGGTACTACATGGAAAGTATCATGTTAAGCGAAATGAGTCAGAAAGAGCGGGATAGACACAGAAAGATTGCATTCATCTGGGGAACATAAAGCAACAAAAAGTGAGAGTGACACACAGGAATGGCTGAGATTAGTACCAGGAATTTTGCCCCATGAATGGAAGGCCAGCCACAGGCTCTAGGTGAAAAGGAAGCTCAGATAGAGAAGAGATTACCAAATGAAGGGTGTTGTGAGGGCCCTCCCAGGGTGGGAGAAGCATGCTAAAAGTAGTCGATAGACCAAACATGATTGCCACTCAAAGCCTCTCTTGCAAAACACAGTACCCAAAAGAAGAGAGAGAGAACAAGGGGGAATACCCTGCCACAGAGGCAGGATGGGACGGGGGGGGGGGGGATGAGGGGGGGGATGCTGGGACCCATGGGGATGGATGACGGGCACTGGTGGAGGTATGGGGACTTGATCATTGTATAACTGAAACCCAAGCACAAAATTTGTAAGCCTATAACTGTACCTCATGGTTTTTCACTAATAAAAAAAAAAAAAAAGTTTAAAAAAAAAAAAAAATGAAATTAAGAAAAGAACCAGCAAAAGTGAACTAAGATTCAGTGGTGAGAATCTGAAGTTCAGCAAGAGTAAAGAATTGGGACTAGAGAGATAGAACAGAGAGTAGGGCCTTTGTCTTTCACGCTGCTGACCCAGGTTCAATGCCTGGCATCCCATATGGTTCCCAAAGCACCACTGTAGCACTGTAGCACTGTCCTCCTGTTGTTCATCCATTTTTCTCAAGCGGGCCCAGTAACGCCTCCATTGTGAGACTTGTTGTTACGGTGTTTGGCACATCGAATACGTCACGGGTAACTTGCCAGGCTTTACCCTGTGAGTGAGATACTCTCACAGTAGCTTGCCAGGCTCTCCGAGAGGGGCGGAGGAATCTCAAACTCAGGTTGGCTGGGTCGGCTTCGTGGAAGGCAAATGCCTTACCCGCTGTGCTACCGCTCCATCCCGTGTGTGTGTGTGTGTTTGTGTGTGTGTGTGTGTGTGTGTATCCTATAAATTTTACCGTGTTATAATATAACCACACAAATACACTTGTATGCAATTCTTATTCCAAAACAAGTTTAAATGAAGGCAAATCCATAACAAGTTTTATATTCTAAATGGTAAGAGAATATGTGATATATGTCATATTTCCATCTGAACTTTAGGAAAGGAGGGTAAGACATGTGTCTGAAATGGAGAAGACAATTGTGAGAGTTGGAAAGGACAATCCAGAGATGGTGTCTTATTGTTATCAGTTGCTAATACATATTGTTTGCTAGGTGCCAGGTACTATGCAAAGTCCTTGGCTCTATTTTTTTTCTCTTAAGCTGCACAACAGCCCTAAGAAGCTTAGAGATGTTGGAGGACTTGGCTGATCCCTCCAGGCTAGAATTGGTTCACTCAGGTCGGACCTGGATCTGGATTCCTGGAGTTGTTCCTCTTTCTCCCCAGGCATCCACTTTCCTTATTAACTTATCCTAAGACTTTCCTCTCCTTAATGTGCAGCATGAAAATTCTGCTAGTGCCAGAGGGATTGGTGTTCACTCAAAACTCATAGACTAAGTTAAAGAATAAATAAAATAAAAAATCGAGCCCCTTGAGTCATAAAATCATGATTAAACTACAGAGTAAATGACTAATAGTGCTACGAATATGAAAATCAACTTAACCCTGAAAATAGATATTCAGATTCAAATTTACTGTACTGAGTGAATGCTCCCTGAATGAGACACATATTAGAGAAAATTCAGATTTGTGTGAATTTATTTGAATGCACAGAATTATTTTGGCAGAAAAATCAATTAAACTACAGTAACATCTACCAAAACCAAAAATGAGAATGTAACAAGATTGGTTATAGAAGGCGTTTACTTATTTATGACATACTTATTGACCTATAATCTATAGTCAAAGATGGTTAGCAGGTGTAAAGCAAAAGAACAAATGTAGTTCTCTCAATTGTTTGATATATATACACATAAAATT